GGAAGCATTTAGGGGCCACTCCTATTTATTTTGTACATTAATGACCTTCCGTCGGTGATACAACAACCTATGGTCCTTTTTGGGGATGAATGTACTGTCATTTATGAAGAAATAATACCCAAAGCAACGAAATTGAGATTAACAGTTCCTCTTAAATGGGGAGGAGTTGAGTCTTGTGGATACCACTGTTTTTCTCGGTATTACTATTGACGCGAAACTTCAATGGGGCCCCCATATATCTAAATTAGCAAGCAGACTTAGTTCTGCAGCATATGCTGTAAGAAAGATTAGAAGTCTCACAGATGTTGAGACAGCTAGGTTAGTGTATTTTAGTTACTTTCATAGTGTAATGTCTTATGGAATTTTGCTATGGGGTAATGCGACTGATATTGAAGCTATATTTGTTTTGCAAAAGAGAGCCGTACGGGCGATTTATAATCTAAATTGTAAAGAGTCCCTTAGAGAAAAATTTAAAGAAATAAACATATTAACTTTGGCATCGCAATATATTTATGAAAATGTAATGTATGTACATAAAAACATAAATAGCTTTAATAAGAATAAGGATGTTCATACCTTAAACACTAGGAACAAACATAAGCTTGTAATGCCACTTACAAGACTCCACAGAATTAGTAATTCATTTATGGGGCAATGTATACGCTTTTACAACAGAATCCCAGAACATGTTCAAAGTTTGTCAATAAACAAGTTTAAAAGTTTTATTAAAGAAAAACTGTACAAAAAGGGTTATTATAATATCAAGGAATACATGAATGAAAATAACCCCTGGGAATAAGGTGATCGCCACCATGCTGGTTCTATGAAGATTCATTTAAAATTGTATAATCAAAATTATTGTTAAGTGAAATTATGTTTAAAAAAAAAGTCCCGCTGGGTTTCTTGCTGGTTCTTCCCAGGACAGAGGTATTTTCCGAACCAGTGGTAAATAAAATAATGACTTTCAATAAGTATTATGTAATAATCCATATTGAATAAAAATCATTCTATTCTATTCTATTCTATTCTATTCCTAGGTCTTATAATCTACTGGCTAGTAAAAAATAACTCAAATATAAATTAAGAAAGAACTAAAATTATGAAATTTAACTGGCAACAAAATAGTTTATCAAGTTTTAATATTACTTATAAAGGTTCACCAATCTATGAAACGATAGAAACTAAATTTTTAGGAATTAACATTGATAACCAACTGAACTGGAAGGATCAGGTTGATAGTATTTCCAATAAATTACATAAATTTTCATATGCCTTGTATAAAGAGCAAGTACGCAAACACTTCGTATAGCTATTGAGGATATGTTGAGTCAACACTTAGGTATGGTGTAATGTTTTGGGAAAACTCAGTGGATCGGGAAAAAACATGCAAATGAAGGTCAAAAAAGGTACATTCTAGCAATCAAAAATCTACACTGGACAGATAGCTGTAAACCACATTTTAAAGAGTTGCAGCTCTTCTAACTTTTGCCTGTTTTTTTTGTCTATGAGATTGCTGTATTTATCCATAGAAACCTATCATTGTTCGAAAATCTAAAGAAGGTATCCTCTGAGATTAAAAGTTCAACAATCAAAGTCAGTAAAAATCCACAAAAGTATATTTTGCTTATCCATACATATCTATAATAAGATATCTAATGATATAAAGAAAATAAATAATATACAAAGCTTCAAAAATCATTAAAAACATTATTAATTAATAAATCTTATATATATAATATTTTATAAATTAATATCATAATGACATAGAAATGAAATAATTATTTTGGTATACATAGATAATAATTATAATAGTTGTATTTGATTTGACATACCAAATATTATAAATTTGACATTTTTAGTTTGTTTTTTTAAAAAGTATATAGTATGTCTTTATATATTAAAATTACGTGTCATGTTGTTTGTCCTCTATGGACTCCTAAACCACTGAACTGATTCTGAGACAGACTGAACTGAACTTGAGAGATAGGATAGTTTTTATCCCGATAAATGACCCTAAAAATTTTTTATTCTGAATTTAAGGATTTTTATAGGAAGGGTCGTTGGAAAGGGCAGAACAACGTCTGCCTGGCGAGCTAGTACAGTTATATTTTACATGACATTAGCCTAAGATGCAGTATTTATTGTTGACTCATATATTTAATAATAGTAATAATAATTTGTAAAGATTATTATTATTATTTTATTTACTTCACCTTTTTTTTCCTCAATATAGACGTTAAGGCACTATTACAAAATGTGTTATTTGTTATGGGTATCATTGCACAATGCTTTTCACCTATAATATCTAGAATTTTTGTGAATATTTAACACTACCTACACAGAGGATTATTGTATTTTTATGGTGTGCAATCAATTTTAAAATTAACCCATTTTGCTTTTATTGGCTATAACAAAAAGAAATATATTTGTACACCACACAATACCTACTGTAAATTTTACTAACACCTAACTCACTGTATTCACAAATAAATGTGAAATGAATTTGAAATTTGAAGTCCAGTAAGGGTAGGTAGAGTCCAAAAAGCAACAAGCTACTCGGACCATGTTTACATACATACATACATACATATAATCACGCCTCTTTCCCGTAGGGGTAGGCAGAGACCACTTCTTTCCACTTGCTACGATCCTTACATACTTGTTTTGCTTCGTCCACTTTCATTATTCCCTTCATACATGCTCTACGGTTTAGGGTACTCTTGACCTGGCCTTTTTTCAGGACGTCCATGATTTGGTCTAGAAATGTCTGCCTAGGTCTACCCCTTCCAACACTTTCATTCACACTCGCCTTATACACTTTTTTCGTCAATCGTTCTTCATTCATTCTCTCGACATGGCTAAACCATCTCAGCATACCTTTCTCAATTTTTGTCACTACATCTTCTTTCAGACCACAACGTTTCCTTATCTCACTATTTCTTAGCCTGTCACTCAGTTTAACTCCTATCATACTTCTTAATGCTCTCATCTCAACTGCATTTATTCTGCTTTCATGTTTCTTCTGCCATACCCAAGTTTCACTTCCGTACATGAGTGTCGGAACCAACACCCCCTCACGCACAGCCAAACGAGCCTTGTTAGACACCTTCCGACTGCTCATAAAGGAGTGCAAAGCTCCATTCACCATGTTTCCTGCATTCACTCTTCTTTCGATATCACACTCACACTTTCCATCTCTTGTAAACTTTGAACCCAGATACACAAACTCTTTCACCTGTTCAATTTGTTCATCTTCAATCACAATGTTGCAGTCTGTCACTGCCTCATCTTTTTCAAACACCATCACTTTCGTCTTCCTTACATTCATCTTCATTCCCTTTCTAACAAAAGCTCCATTCATAGCAGTTACCATCTCCTGCAACTCCTCGGCCGAAGACGCAAGTAATACTTGGTCATCAGCATAGAGAAAACATTTGACGAGTAACTCATTCATTCTCAACCCACTTTCATTCTCTTTTAAATCTGTCAAACAATTGTCCATGAACAGATTAAACAGCCACGGTGACGCTACACATCCCTGTCTAACACCGTTTTCGATATTAAACCATTCAGTGTATGCCCTGTTTATCCTTACACAAGCACTAGAATCCCTATAAAGAGATTGCATTGCTCGTATGAGAATACTGCTCACACCGTTCACGGACAGTGCTGACCACAATTCGTTCCTCACCACTCTATCATAGGCCTTTTCTAGGACCATGTTTCAACTAAAATAATATTAGGTTTAGATAGAGAGAAGTGACAGGTGGCTAGCCTATCACCTGTATGATCACAAAGCCCAATATCCCATTAGTCACCTTATATGATGTGCTTGGTAAGTAACACAGTTGGCACATTCTTTCCTGTAATAAGGACCCACATAAACAAGATCTATAAGACCCAGATCAACATTGTTCAATAAATCAAAATATTTTTATAAAATCACAACTATTTCAGCTTTATACAAATACACCAATATACAATGGCATACATACATATACATAACAGGTTGTTATGATATTATGGCTACTTCGAGACTGCATAACTACCTCAATTTACTTCCTTATATTATTGCCTAATTTACAATAACTACAAAACTACAATTGATTGTTTTTGAGCCTAAAAAGACTTTTACATTTATTATAAAACAACTCCTTTTTAAGCAAATTTTTAAAAGCTAAATTATTTATAATATAATTTTTCTAAGGGTTGTCCTTGAACTTCCTTGTCTTATGATATGGAATATTGATCACGTTTCAGGCTTTTCTATGTATGTATGTTTACTTCATGAATATTCTTACTCTAATCTAATTTAAGATATAAATAAAGTGGAACTTCCTATGTGCATCCATTTTTAAATATTTTTTTTCATAAGACGTGAAGTGGGGTGATCTCTTTGGGATGTTAAAATTAAATCAGTTTTGACTAAATTTGCAGTTAAAAGCACTCTGCTACAGACCAATTTAAGGACAAACTTTGATGTTCAACAAACAAGATTAATGTAGAAAAATTGTAATGAATTTGTCCTTAATTTTTGTGCATAATATCTTAACATGTAACATAATATGTTTAAAAAAATTGAACTTTTGAATAGTAAGTATTCATCAAATGCTTTCTTTGGGTATAATCTTATACTAAAACAGTAGACAATCTAAACATTAGCCAGGAGACATAGAGAGACAAGAGCACTTTGGATAATATTATAATCATTCTGAGAACTTTAACGGGACCACCTACCAGCACTTTTTGTATATGAAAGTCCCAACTGGACCCCAAACTTGTCTACACCGCTACCGCAAGGACATCGATGAGGTTGAAAATAACACACTCAATGTAGAATTATAAGTGCCTGCTCTATTTGTCAAGTAATATGCCAAATTACTTGATGGTAAGAAAATTTGGTTCATGTAATAAATATCAGTTAGAAAACTATCAATTTCAATGTAATGAATGAGTTTCCTAGCAATATTTCTTTTAAGAAGTTTGTAAAATATTCTTACTTTGTGTAATCAGTCCCAAGATCCAAAACGACAGCTTGTTTTTCCTGTATAAGAGCTATACCTTCATACAGCGCCATGATTTCTTATTATTTTTGTTTAAATCTGAATGTACATTTTATGTGTTACAATAGTTATTAGCTCCGCTAGGAGTAAAAATTGTTCTGTGGTTATTTTGTTTAAAAAAACCTCGAAAGAATCATCAAAATATAACATTAATGTAGGGATGTTCGATGATCATCGATGTTACCACATGTCAAACATCCATCATCGATGAACTCATAATCGATTATTGGCAAGGAGTATAATAACTGTCCTAATTATTGGGAAGTTCCGAACCCGTGACCTCAATATCAATTAAATCTTGCATCTCTTCTAAAAGATTTAAAATTTTGAATAATTCAGAATTCCTGAACGCATCGATAACCTAAAAAATGTCATTAGGGAGCATCAAAATTAACTGTCAAGTGTCGACTGTAATGTAACAATTGTCACTGCTTTCGCTTTGTTATTCTGTGGTAGCGTTGTTGGTTATCTGTTTTTTTACTCGGTTGTTTTTCAAACAATCCGGTGGTTGCTCTTAAACAAAATTCAAAGCATGTTTAGAACAATGTTAATGGTTCTATTTATCTAAAATTTAAAAAAATTACTTGCGGTGAGATAGACACACAAACAGTTGACCACTATAGCTACACCAACGCCATCTGCGTGGTTATTTTCAAAAGCTGGCTCAGCTTTTTATCAACAGATAAACAGATTGAAAGGTAACGCGTAAATATTGGACTATATTAGATATATTTGTGAATATCTTCAAATTTTTTTAATCACTGTTTTACACTACATTGTTTAATAATTTCTTTTATTTCATTAATAATAAACCATAAACAATATGATTATGTTTTATTCATCTAATTCTAACTTATTAAATACATGTGCAAAAACATCGATAATGGCCAACATTGTTTTGAGTAGGATAAATATTGAACATCGATGTTGAGCTATCGATGCCAACATCGATGTCATTGTCGATGTTTCAGCAACATCGATAATTCCTACATTAATGTCAGATGAGGTGACGTAATGTCACTTTCATACTTCTTAATAACTGGCTTTACGGCTCTGGGATCTATCCCTTCTGAGCCTGAAGTTACAATATTATATTATAATAATTATTCTTCATAGTATACTGCTTCACAATATGTTGATGCGTCATATTGTGCAGCCCTCGGGAGATTTTGACGGTAACTTGAGCCAGCTGACAGCTGACAGTTGGCGATGGTATCTCAAGGCGCCTAAGCAGACAGGCACCTTATTTTGAGAATCACATCACTATCAGAGCACTTGTTTCACAGTTTCCTCTAATAGTACACATGCGCAGATACTTAATACACAAAATCGCACCACTTTTACATATCAAAGTCCACTTCAAACCATTATTTAAACAATAAAACAGGAGCAGCAAACCGACGCCGATCAAGTTCGGATATAATATATTATATCCCGAAATATAAATTATATCCCGCGATTGGCTTTCACACTGTGAGATATATCTTTTAATTATTGTGCATTCGTCATTGGTCATTGGGACCCCCCTTTACCCCGTACACCGTTCTGCGGGGGCGCATAACGGTGTGCGGGGTACAAGGGGCGAAATATAATATGAAAATATCGCTCGGTCGATCGAAAAAATATTTATAGCTTGAGATGTAATATATATTATAGCTCAGTGTAAACGGTTCCATATAAAATGTATGGTGAGCAATATTAATTTATATCTCGAGATGTAATATATATTATATTATATCCCATAGTGAAAAGCGGGCTTTAGTCTGTGATGTAAGCCTATGAGCGTTGAGCGCACTTATAAAAAAAAATTATAATCATTGTCTTAAACTTATAGAATGAGATTGACAGATAGCAACGACAGAAGACGAATTCAATTCTACTACAAAAAGGCAAAGGCCCTAAAGATCAGACAGGCTTGAATAAGAATTGATGGAAACAACTTCACTTTTCTCACCCAGTGGTGGTAGTTAGCATAAATAGCATAGATACATACATTTTATGTGTGTCTTCTATCATTTTTAATATTATAACAGATTATTAACATATGCATCGTATTTATAATATGGATTAAGAGTAATATGTTAAGAAAATATTTCGAGCATTATCTAAAGCTTATATTTTTAATTAAAATTGAGAAAAGAAACCTTAAGAAGAAAATTTAGTAGAAGATCCTTTTCTTCGAATATATACAGGAATACTCCTGAAGTATTATTGTACCTATTACCTATATTATAACTATTTAAAAAAAAATCATCAAAATCGGTCACAATTGACGAAGATACGCTTAATAAATGAATTTATTTATAGAATGCCACATCGGGGTGAATTTGCCATTATTGGTAAGCTTGGCAGGGTGGTTGCCAGGTGGTTTTTTTTTTACATTTTTGAACTTTACTTTCCCTGTATCACCTCATACCCAGTTAGACCCACGGGACGGGGTAATAGGTATTCTTACTCCGACACCACACGGTCTCGTAACATAACCACATGTAAAACACCCAGATAGATTTTAAGGTGTTTTTTGAAAAAAATTCTTTATGAAAGTAGTTAAAATGAGGTTACGTCTTGCTTGCATCAATTAGTTTGAGCGTCATCTATTATTACCTTTGCACATTTTATTACTTGACAGAGGCTATTGACCCTTATCATCCTGAATATTATAATGCTACTGCAAGTGACTGTCTCGTTGGTCTAGTGATCGTTAAAGCGATTGCTGATTATGAGGTCTAGGCACGCATTCCAGGACGGCCATAAATCAGTTACTGGGTTTTTTGTCAAGAAATTCTCTGAAGCAGTTCGGTCGTGTTGGATTACCGTCACATCGGACTATGAGAGTGTGGGAATAGAGAGTGCATCTGCGCTTGAGCATACACTCAGGCAATTTAATCCTGTCCTGCGCAGACGGCTAGTCTCTCATTGAGACTGGCTGCCGTGAATGAAATTCGGCCTGGACGACATTTCATTTATTTAATTACCATCCTTTGTTAATTAAATTTTGATTTGAAATGCTTGTTGAAACAATGATTATTTATTTTCACACTAAATTTATTTCGTAGGTGTAAAACATACAACTAGCTAAGTTAAAATAAAATGTATGTATTCATTAAGACTTTCTTTAATAATTGTTTATTAAATTACTAATACATACTTATTTCACATAAGTATGTAATAGTAATTATAGTTTTAATTAATGTATTGATACTTTTTAGGCTTTCTTTGTGCAGATTAAAAATAAATTGTCAGTGTGATGTTACTTTAATCCACTTTTGCCATTTGGCAGTTTAAAAACTATATGAATTTCAAAATTTCGGTGTAAATAGTGTCCAAAGTTACTTTTGATTAAGGCAACAATAACTTAATCGAGTTTATTGGTATTATATGAACAGAACTCAGAAATATTATACTTATAGTATGTAAAAATCGCATGGAGCAACCTGATTACATAGGAATTTTAGTTAACCTAACTTCAATATAGAGAAATGCGTCGTTTCCGCGTTTTGCGCCCACTGCGCGTTTCTAAATCAGGTGGAGTACACAGAGGATTAAAGCCGATAACTTTATCATCACAACTTCAGGGCTCCTACGTTGGGACAGGTTCAGCAGGTATGGGTTCTACGCGCACCGTGTTCCGAACCACCCAGTCACGTCGCCGGTGTTATATGGGCTGCGTAGCTAAGCTTGTCGATTCCTTTTTAATTAACTACTCCTAAGTTTATTGCTAGTAATTTCTAGAATGTATGGTTAAGAAACTAGATTTTTCAGATTAAAATTAGATAGAAAATCTTTTTGGTAAAATGTTGTAAAATTAATGATCTCCCTAGATTCCTACATTGTCACAGTACATATTGTTATTGCAGTTTTTAATATTGTATCTACTCACCTATTACGAATAAAATAGTTTGGCAAAAAATAATTTTGTATAACTATGTTTGGTACATGCTTTTTGTTGTGTATACTTATTATGTTCAGTAAAATATAGGAATATTGGATAAGTATACGCTGAAGTGGCAATGGGCCAGCCATATAGCTCGAAAAATCGAGAATCGATGGGGAAGAAAGTTCTCAAGTGGCAGCCACGTGCCGTGAAGAGAAGTGTAGGGCGGTCTCTCATTAGATGGTGACGACCTGGTAAGACTTGGCTTGTGTATCGATGAACACAAGTGGCTCAAATCCTTTGTGGCATTTCTTGGGAAAAGCCCAATATTCAGCGGTGGATTTCGAAGATCTGTAATGATGATGATCATGATTATGTCCATGACAATAACTAGCATCAGGCAAATCGTATACTAGTTTGCTCCTAGAAACCTTCGATATTGCGAATGTTGGCACAGACTCAAAATTGGTAAAGTTGAAATGATTTACAATAAAACAATTATTAAAAAAAGTTTGTATTTAATTATGAACATGACATTCAAATACTTAAGATCTATTTTTACATTAGGATAAAAAATAATATAAAATAAAATTTTTCTACAAAGGGCCATTAGAAAAATTGTAATTACTTTAGTAACATTTTGAAAGACTTTGTTTTTACCAATATAAGGCATTCGAAAATAAAGACGATGTAACTAGGTACTATTAATTTATTTTACATAAATTCCGCTATAATACATATTTACAAACGTAAAAACGATTTGAAAACGACGCAATATAAAAAAACATGTTGAGCAGGCTTACAATCTACACCTACACTAACTAGGAGACTCGAGAGCTCGGCGGCGCGCACTCCCTACCTAAGTGATCACAAGCATCTGTTAGATCACTGTCTGGACGACGATTGCAGCCTTCTACTAAAATATTATGAAGGATATTTAGCTGTGACTTAATAAATAACTCTATTTATAACATTTTACTAATGAAAAGTAATTAAATTTGTACTGTTAAAGTTGCATTTTAAATAAAAGTAAGCGTCGTGACGTCTGCGCAACTTCAACAAGGGCTTAAGTTAGCATTCCTAAAGGTACAGAAAGCTCACACTCGCTGCGGAACCAGAACGGACTTCTCGTGATCAGTC